TGATTTTTCATGACAACTTAGCTTCCTCTTTCAACTCACATAATTATTGTCTTAACCATAAAACATTATGAGTATTTTAAAAAAATTTCCAAACCATTTTTTTGTAAATTTATATCACTGCTATCTAATTTTCAGACCATGTTTACTAAAACCTTTTCAAACTATCTTTTCTAAATTCATAAAAACTTTCAGACCATCTTTAATACTGTCAATATGAAATAAACACTATCAATAATTCTTCTCAAAAATCATTGATTCAAACATCGAAACAATCCTCCAATAATAACCATTCAGCTTTATACTCACTTCTCTTCAATTTTAGGATACAAAAATTTGCAAGATTTAAGAAATACTAATCAATGAATGCAAATCACATTATAGGTAAGACGCATCCGAGTGGAAGAGATTTGCTAAGGTTGATACCTGATTACCCTGATAGGTTACCATTGGAGCAGCAGTGTCAACATTGCGGAAGCAAAGAAATTCTATTCTGAGACAATGAATTTCTGTTGTTCCAACGGTGAAGTAGTTCTCTCTCAGAATAAACTTCCTAATGTTCTAAAAGAGCTCTTAACTTCATCCTCGGAAGAAGCAAAAACCTTTAGAGCTATGATTAGAACTTATAACAACCACTTTGGTATCACCTCTTTTGATGTTAAATATGACAAGAAACTCTGCAAAAGAAATAAAGGAATCTATACATTTAGAATTCAAGGGCAAATTTATCATTTTTTAAATGATTTAAACTCAGCCAATGATCATGGCGAAAATCTTCAATTATATTTTCATGATCTTGAAATTGAGTTAGCCAATCGAATAGCATCTTGCCCGAGGTTATCAGAAACTTTAGTTAAGAAACTCATGTGCGTGTTGGAAAACAATCCATACGCTAAATTTTTTCAAACTTTAAGTGGAGTGCCTAATCTCGATAATTATCACATTGTCCTAAAGACTATTCCTGGTCTAGACCAGAGAGTCTATAATAAACCTACAAGCTCACAAGTAGCAGCTTTGTGGATTGAAGGTGAAGATAATAGACAAACAGGAAAGCGAGACATTAGAGTGCACACTCATAGTGGGACCTCAAAAAATATTCAATATTATTATGGATGTTATGATCCGCTTCAATACCCACTAATGTTTCCTTTTGGTGATCTAGGATAGCACCAAGGCATTCCCAAAAAGGGAATAAAACCACAAACTAAGAGATTGAGGAAAAAAAAATTACAACCGAATCTATTTGCCCCATCAATGTCTCTAATGTAGATGAATTACTTGAGAATGAAGAGGTTGGTAAGTAAATACACGTTTATTAATCAGCACTCTTTAATGTAAAATTTCACAAAAATATCAACTAACAAAATTTTTTTTTCTCAATCCACACAGTAATGAGTAGCTTTCAAGAAGATCCAGATTTGTTTCCGTGCGAGAGCACTATGCTTATAAGCTCCAAATAAGGGATAACGATGAATCATTCCTCCTTCACTTTGCAAGACTACTACAACAATACGTAGTAGATCAATATGTCAAATTAGAAAGCCAAAGACTTGACTTCTTTAGAAATCAACAAGAGGAAATACAAAAGGAATTTTTACAAGGAATCATTGATGCTATGACTAGAGGTGAGACAGAAGCATCAAAAGTCGGTCAGCGAATCATATTACCACCCTCCTTCATTGGAGGACCAAGGAATATGAGACGCAAATATATGGACGCAATGACTTTGGTCCAAAAATTTGGAAAGCCAGATATCTTTCTGACTATGACATGTAATCATAATTGGCCAGAAATAAAAGAATATTTAATTCATGGAGAAGAAGCACAAAATAGATCAGATTTACTTGCTAGAGTATTTCACTCAAAACTAGAAGTCTTAAAAGACGAATTACTGAAAAAATGTAATTTTGGTGAGGTGGCTACCTATACCTATGTAATTGAATACCAAAAATGAGGAATGCCACATGCTCATTTCTTATTAATATTAAAGTCCAAATGTAAATTATATAGTGCAGAAGAATACGATAGAATTGTGCGTGCAGAAATTCCATGTAAACAAATTATCCTCATCTATATGAGATGGTAGTCAAACACATGCTCTATGGCCCTTGTGGTCCTGCTAATCCATCGAATGCTTGCATGACAAAGAATTGCGTCTGTTGAAATAATTATCCAAAAGATTTTTGCGAAGAGACCATTCAAACAGTAGACGCATATCCTCAATATAGAAGAACAAACAATGGTGTCCAAGTAACAATTAGAGGTGCTGTTTTAGACAATAGATGGGTTGTCCCGTATAACTCATATCTATTGGCCAAATTTGACTGCCATATGAATGTTGAAATATGTTCAACAATCAAAGCAGTCAAATATATATGTAAAGGTCATGATAAACAAGCTTTTGCCTTTCAGCGTCTACTTTTGACAATGTGGTAGATGAAATCAAACAATATGCTTGCTAGAGTATTCCACTCAAAACTAGAAGTCTTAAAAGACGAATTACTGCAAAAATGTATTTTTGGTGAGGTGGCTACCTATACCTATGTAATTGAATACCAAAAATGAGGAATGCCACATGCTCATTTCTTATTAATATTAAAGTCCAAATGTAAATTATATAGTGCAGAAGAATACGATAGAATTGTGTGTGCAGAAATTCCATGTAAACAAATTATCCTCATCTATATGAGATGGTAGTCAAACACATGCTCTATGGCCCTTGTGGTCCTGCTAATCCATCGAATGCTTGCATGACAAAGAATGGCGTCTGTTGAAATAATTATCCAAAAGATTTTTGCGAAGAGACCATTCAAACAGTAGACGCATATCCTCAATATAGAAGAACAAACAACGGTGTCCAAGTAACAATTAGAGGTGCTGTTTTAGACAATAGATGGGTTGTCCCGTATAACTCATATCTATTGGCCAAATTTGACTGCCATATGAATGTTGAAATATGTTCAACAATCAAAGCAGTCAAATATATATGTAAAGGTCATGATAAACAAGCTTTTGCCTTTCAGCGTCTACTTTTGACAATGTGGTAGATGAAATCAAACAATATGCTTGCTAGAGTATTCCACTCAAAACTAGAAGTCTTAAAAGACGAATTACTGCAAAAATGTATTTTTGGTGAGGTGGCTACCTATACCTATGTAATTGAATACCAAAAATGAGGAATGCCACATGCTCATTTCTTATTAATATTAAAGTCCAAATGTAAATTATATAGTGCAGAAGAATACGATAGAATTGTGCGTGCAGAAATTCCATGTAAACAAATTATCCTCATCTATATGAGATGGTAGTCAAACACATGCTCTATGGCCCTTGTGGTCCTGCTAATCCATCGAATGCTTGCATGACAAAGAATGGCGTCTGTTGAAATAATTATCCAAAAGATTTTTGTGAAGAGACCATTCAAACAGTAGACGCATATCCTCAATATAGAAGAACAAACAACAGTGTCCAAGTAATAATTAGAGGTGCTGTTTTAGACAATAGATGGGTTGTCCTATATAACTCATATCTATTGGCCAAATTTGACTGCTATATGAATGTTGAAATATGTTCAACAATCAAAGCAGTCAAATATATATGTAAAGGTCATGATAAAACAATCTTTTGCCTTTCGGCGTCTACTTTTGACAATGTGGTAGATGAAATCGAACAATATGCTTGCTAGAGTATTCCACTCAAAACTAGAAGTCTTAAAAGACAAATTACTGAAAAAATGTATTTTTGGTGAGGTGGCTACCTATACCTATGTAATTGAATACCAAAAATGAGGAATGCCACATGCTCATTTCTTATTAATATTAAAGTCCAAATGTAAATTATATAGTGCAGAAGAATACGATAGAATTGTGTGTGCAAAAATTCCACGTAAAAAAACTTACCCTCATCCATATGAGATGGTAGTCAAACACATGCTCCATGGCCCTTGTGGTCCTGCTAATCCATCGAATGCTTGCATGACAAAGAATGGCGTCTATCAAAATAATTATCCAAAAGATTTTTGTGAAGAGACCATTCAAACAGTAGACGCATATCCTCAATATAGAAGAACAAACAATGGTGTCCAAGTAACAATTAGAAGTGCTGTTTTAGACAATAGATAGGTTGTCCCATATAACTCATATCTATTGGCCAAATTTGACTGCCATATGAATGTTGAAATATATTCAACAATCAAAGCTGTCAAATATATATGTAAGGGTCATGATAAAACAAGCTTTTGCCTTTTATCGTCTACTTTTGACAATGTGGTAGATGAAATCGAACAATATGTATCAGCAAGATGAATTTCTCCACCTGAAGCTGTATGGAGAATATTCAGATTTTGTACAATTGAAATCAAACCTGCAATTATCCATTTACAGCTACATCTTGAAAACTATCAACCGGTAGTCTTCAAGAAGTTAGCTAATCTTCAAAATGTTACAGAAAATCCTCATTTTAAGACAACAATGTTAACATAATTTTTTCATATGAATAAGACAAATGAAGATGCACAAAGATTGAATTGTACATACTCATAATTTCTAGACCACTTTGTTTGGAAACCAAGCCAAAGATATTGGAAACTCAGAGAAAGAGGAGACTCTGTTGGACGAATAATGACCGCACATCCAACAGAAGGTGAGAGATACTACTTTAGGCTCCTCCTCTCAAAAGTTTGATGTCCCACTTCATTCAAGGACTTACGAACTTACAATGGTGTTACAGTAGATACTTTTAGGGAAGCAACATTAATTCGAAATTTATTGCAAGATGATAATAGTCAAGAAATCTGTTTACAAGAAGCCTCGCATTTTAAGACGCCTTACGAAATGAGAAGGCTTTTCGCTACACTCTTAGTTTACTCTTGTCCAAATAATCCAAAATAACTGTGGGAAAAATTCAAAGTGTCAATGTTGGAGGATCTTGTCCGATGCTCAACATTAACATTTAAAGAAATTGAACATAAAGCTCTATAACAAATAGACGGTTTCCTACAAACAATGGAAAAGAGCATACGTTCTTACAACTTTGTCCCACCTAATTTGTCATATAACAACGTAGAAGACCTGACTAGAGAATTACGAGCAGAAAAAAGCATTCTTGTTACACCTTATGATTTGAGTGGAATTGACATGCTTAATGAAAAACAAAAACAAGCATTCAAAGTTATTACTGAGAGAATTTATTCAAGAAAAAGCGGCGCTTTCTTCATAGATGGTCTGGGAGGAACAGGGAAAACATTTCTCTATAGGAATTTATTGGTAGATGTGAGGAGCAAAGGCTTTCTTGCACTCGCAACTGCTACTTCAAGAATTGCAGCTTCTATTTTGCTTGGTGGTAGGATTGCACATTCTCGATTTAAGATCCCAATTGATATTTCTAAGAGTACAATATGTAGAATTAGCAAACAAACTTCTCTGGCAACAATGATTAGAGAAGCAAAGTTAATAATTTGGGATGAAGCACCAATGTCCAAAAAAACAGCAATTGAAGCATTGGATGATTTGTTAAAAGACCTCATGGATTCAACACAAATTTTTGGGGGAAAAATTGTTGTCCTTGGAGGAGATTTTAGACAGACACTTCCAGTAGTTCGAAAGGGAGCAAAAAGTCAAGTGATAAATGCCTATCTAATCAATTCTCTAATATGGGACAAACTTGAGAAACTAAACTTAAGTGAAAATATGAGAGCAAGATTAGACCCCGCATTTATAGAGTTCCTATTAAAGATTGGAGATGGGACAATTGACACAGAAGCTAATGATTTAGTGAAAATTCCACCTTCTATCTTAGTTCCTTACACTAATGAATCTGATGCACTTCAAAAACTGATCCAAATGGTGTATCCTGAAATCACCAATGGATCACAAATCTCATCTTCTTTCTTAAACAGGGCAATACTAACAACGAAAAATCCATTTGTTGATGAGATAAATAATGCTCTCATAGATAGATATCCAGGAGAAGCAGTTGAATACTTGAGTTATGAAGAGACATTAAATGAAAATCACCAGGCTAAATATATCGACTTGCTGAATACATTGACTCCAAGTGGTTTACCGCCACACAGATTAGTTTTGAAACCAAATGCATCAATAATTCTCTTAAGAAATCTTGATCCAACTGAGGGATTATGCAATGGCACAAGGCTTACAATCAAATTCCTCAGTAAAAACATCATTCATGCTACCATATCATTTGGTGATTTCTCTGGAAAAGATGTATTTATTCATAGAATTCCAATGCAACCACCAGCCGATGACCAATATCCAGTCTCATACAAAAGGATCCAATTTCCAGTTCGCTTGTGCTTTGCAATGATTATTAACAAAGCACAAGGACAAACCTTAGACTTTGTGGGTATATATTTGAAAGAACCTGTGTTTTCCCATGGTCAATTATACGTTGCTCTCTCAAGAGCAAAAATAGCCTCAGTAGTTAGAATACTAATAAAACCAGCCTATTTTTCCCCTCATTAGATGGACAAAACAAAAAACATAGTGTATAAAGAAGTACTTCAGCATACAGAACCACTACAAATAAGTACATTCATGACTCATCTCTCTTACTATTTTTAGTGTTTTCCTATGTATGCAGCCCTTTACCAGTTATAATTACTATTTCTCATCCGAAATAATAAAATTCTCACTATACTTCATCGTAATGCAGTTCAAAATGCCTAGACATATTTCGACTGTGCTGGACATTGACAAAGAATCAGACAAATGGACAGTTCTTATTCAAGTAGTTGAGAGGAATCACATTCAGTACACTCGGAAAGCACCACCTAGAAGGATCCAACGATTCATGCTCACTAATGCCCAAGTACTTTACTAACTACTATGTACATTCATCACCCAATATAAATAACTATAGATTAATCCCATTCTTACAACGACTCCTTAAATGTTTATTCTCTTAGACTATCCAAGACAAAAATGACTACATAGCTATATTTACACTTTACTAGAAAATAATATTTGATTTCTAATTCACTCATACCCTATCCTTTAGAAATTGTTGCACTTTAAAATTTTATGTATTCTATATATTCTATGATCTGCCTGCATAGGATTACTTAGCAAAAATAGCCTAGATATGACAGATCCAAATTTCAGTTTGCTTGCAAGTTCACTTTTATTTGGACTATTAATTTACACAACAAATTCTGGATATATACATAAATATACAATCAGTACTAACCACTAAGAACCACCTATATTAACAAGGCTTAATAAATTTATATTTCTAACTTTTAAAAATTGTATGTTTTCAAACTGATCCAAATCAATGTTTAACACCTTCTGAAAATTCAGTCTCAATAGTAGTAAAACAAAAACAAAATATAAACAACAGCTTTCCCTTTTCTCTTGGAACCTGAGATTCGAGAAAACATAAAAACTTAGCATTCAAAGTTCAATATGCAATGCTATGCTTATAAACTACATTTTCATATAATACTCTCACTATGTAGCAGAAAATTCATACAAATTGCTTCCTCTTGCTACCTTTTTTAATTCACAAGAATATTGAACACATTTAAGTAACTTTAACCACTTTGAATCATCTTCTTGCTGCTCCCGATAATTACAAATTTCATTCACTTTTATCTCATACATGATCATCAATCATAATCACCAATAAAACATAAACAACAGTTTCTTCCTATTCCCCTCAATTTACAATCCATAAACCTAAGATTCCACAATACATAGAGGGTCAAAAAAATGTTAACTGTCTATGATTTATTCTAAAAAAATCACAACTCCTACTTGATTGCTCCTACCTGATTGCAAACTCATTCATGCAGATATCCATATAGAAGATACACAATAATGTTACCTTATAGTATACTAACTCAACTACAAACACTACAAACAGGGAACCAAAGTCTCTGCAGCAGCTTATGAAAATTGCATCCGACTGTTCAGAAATCTGTTAGTTCCATACCAGCGATACTACATCTCTGGTGCAACTATTATCAATGTTGTTCCTACATACAAAGTTAGCAAATATCCGTACTCTTGGGTCCTTCATTACTCAACTTTGATTGAGTGCTACCTCGAACCAATTCCTCCAATGCTTCCATGTCCTTTCACCTTTGACAACTTTTCTGATGCACATAAACATGCAGAATCTGATATTACTCTGATAAGTAAGTGTTATATAAAAAACATATCTTTGCAGAATTTTATCCAATTTTACATTCTTAGATACTTTCAAATCTGACTAACTACTTCAAACTATAGGTGTCTAGGCATTGGTCATATATGCCTTCCCTAAAAAAGAAACAACTCCAGATTCAATCACGAGATTTTCTGATTGTAAATGAAGAGTAAGAAATCTCACTTCCATCTATTACTTAACACATACATTATTATTTAACATCATCCTTTTTATTGAGTCCTTATTGTTCAAAGGAAAAAATTGATGCTTCTCACTTTATGGAATGAGTTCCAAGAGCATGAAGGCAATATCCTTGCAAACACCATTGCAACTGCTCCTATGATCTTTACTATGAGAGTGAAAGTCTCTACTTTCTCCCTTACTCTAAAAATTCAGTATACATTCATTGCATATCACTCATATTTCTCACACATAAAAATCTTAATTCTCTGCTTAAACAGGTTTGTCATTGACGACAATAGGACTATCATGCATTCTCATCAATCCACCAGTCCATGATGAATTGCCGCTTCGTGAATAGTATAGCATTCATAAAGATGAAGTTAATATTTTATTAGAAGCAGAAGCATATAAAGATCCAGAATTACTGCTTCCACCGCCAAACCAAGAGGACATCAAGACCATTCATGATGCATTAATCTCATTCGGAACAGTAAGAACGCCACAGTTTTTCCCTAACCAATCGGCAATATCATTTTACACTTCAACTTTGCAGAAAATGAAATAGTAATACACTAGAGTTTCAATTCATTTGCAGCAAAAAACAGCATGGATATGCGGTACAGTGCAATTATCATTTGGCCAAACTCGCTTTTAGTATACTGCATGCTCAAATTGTTTGAAAACTATTGAAGAAAATACAAATTGGATCATAAAATATTCATCATGCAGACAAGAAGCCGAAGTGGAACTAAGGTGTTGTTTCTCATCTAACCTGTTTAAAAATAACTCTTTTATACAATACATTGTACAATAAACTAAAACTCAGACATTGCACGTAAGGTGTCACATTGGAATAACACTGACCGATCCAACTGCAAGCATTCAATGCTTAATATCTGGAAAAGAAGCTGAAAGACAGATACAATTGACTACTGTGGAGCTTAAGGATGCAGAGGCATATGTACATCAGCACACCTAACTTTCAAGTTTTTGTTCAACATTTATATACAGAAATACTAATATATAAACACTCACATTGATGCTTATCATTTCAGGGAATAACAATGAACCAAGAACTTTCTGCCATCATGAAAATGTACAGGTTGATCTGTTTCATCAAAACATATGAGACAACTTTTCAAGGACAACTCTAAAGAAGAAATGCAATCATCAAATTCTACCCAACAGCTGAAGTCCCCAACATATCATTGGCTCTATTAGATTCACAAACAATTCTTCAAGCTTTAGAAACTGGAACAGCAACAAACATCAAGCAAAAACAGGTCGCAGAAGAACAAACGTTCACACCAACAGCCAAGTTGCTCCTTCAAGAAATAGCCGAATCCACTGCTACTAAAAAAAGATTCATCACTAAATCAACAACTGCTGCAACAACCAGCCACAAATTGCTTGAAGACACTGCTACCTCAGCTTCACCAAATACCACCACAATCGAAGAAACTGCTGTCAGCCCAATAAAGAAACCAAAACAGGAAGGAAAAGGGAATTGAACACTCCCCAATCCTTACTAAAACCTTTTGATATTGCTAGAGAAGAATTTAGCAGGTCTATCGTGGCTAAATTGTAGTTTTAGAATCCATTGCTCCAATATGTTTTGATAGAGCAATGCATTCTAATACTTAGAATTACTACAACCTCCCTCACCTGCTAACGACTCCTATTACCAGAACCATAAACCTGTAAAACCTAGGTACATGACTTTGTCAAGCTGAAAATGCAGTATTAGAGTCCACTGCTCCAATATCTTTTGATAGAGTAGTGCATTCTAATACTAATATGTCATATAAGCTTCTTTAGCAATCAATAATATGTGCAGTACTTCTATACATTCCAAATGAGCGATTTACTTTTCATATAAGTTAAAAATTTACATATGTTTCTCCATACATCTATTCTATTGAACTTATTTAATTACAAGTTGAAAATGTTGGTGCAGAAAAGCCTTTTATTTGGAGTTCACAGATTTGTACTAAGGAATTGCTTCAATTTCAAGTCACTTTCTCCTCTTCTTTGACTACATGCTATAATGTTTGTGCCTAAGTTTTGTTATATTTCATCTATTGCTCATAATGTTTTCTGTTGTAGGTTCATTTGGTCTCACTTATTAACTGAACGTATGCTTTATACGATTATGGTGAGGCTGGCTAATCAATAGATTGATATGTATTAGAAGCAAACGAGTATGATCAAGAAAGATCACCTACTTGCTGCAATCAAAGTTGTTGCTTCCATCAGGGGACACAACCTATCAGTAAGCTTTCAAGAATTACCATGAATTGCATTTGAGTTCAGTTTTATTCAACATTCGATTGAAGATTCTTATCTCATAAAGTATGCTCCAACCATTAAGATTTTATTAACAGTATTCTGTTTATTAAAAAAAAAGATCCAAAAGTCACAAAATTTTGACGAAATAGAAAGACGCTTCCTTGCTTGACTTAGTCCACATCAACTCCACTCTATAAGCATATGACCAATATTTTGCATTTTGCATTTTTGTATATAAACTTATAGATATTACTGCTGTTTTACCTTTTTTATTCTTATTCATGGTCCTGGTCATGCTATGCTACAAATAAAGAGCTTGATATAATTGATTGTTGTGGCCAGTCAATGAATACAAAAATGAAAAATGGGCTTCACAATGGGAATGTTTTAGGAATCTAGATGTTATACACAATCAATTTGGGCTTTCCATTTGATTTGGAAATAGTAGCAGCAGCAACCTGCCTTGCTCTTCACTTTTCCTTTTATGGAGTCTTCTTTGGTAAGTTTAATTTGCCCTCTTTTTGTTGTTGTTAGCTTTTTTACGTGACAATAGCGGACAAATAAATAGATTGGTATATGTGATACCCCGACTTCTTTAAACCCTAAATTCTAATCAAAAGAAAAAAAAACCCTAGTTTACTTGTGACTAATCGGTTTTCTTAAATCTCCTATATTTTAATCGAAACCCTAATTGTAACCAATGGAATTGTAAAATTCCTCACATTTTTCTTAAAATTCCTTTTATTTGGAAATTATTACTTTCTAATAGCCTCACTCCCCAATCACACCACAATAAGTGTAAATGAACATAAAATCTAGGGTGTCTTTTTTTTTCATTTTC